CTGTAACTAATTGCTTCCCAACAAATAATTCTTTAAAAGATTAACTAAGGAGCACGTTTTCCCCTAAAAGGTTGACATAAACTTTCCTAAAACCCCCAATGCTAATCAGGTATTTTACTGCTAACCTAGTTATAAGAAAGTGATCTGAGCTCTGCTGCTCTGAATCTACTTATTATTCATGATGCGAGGACTTATTCCAATCTCCCTTGGATTCTTTTCTAAAAGGCTATCTAAGGAATACTAATATAAATGAGAATTATTTTATATCTTCTAGTTTAAAATGGAAAGCATAATACTATATAAATAAAATATTATAGATAGTACTTTATTAAACATAAAAGCAATTGTTCTTTTTTATTACATCATTAATAGACATTTAAATTTCCTGCTTAAAGAAAAAATGTTAAATGAAGTAGTGATATTTGAGTTTAATTGTAATGCAAAATATGCTTCTACATCGACAAATTGTAAGTTAATGAACCTAGTTTTTTCTTTCCTCTTCTCTGGGAATTTGTGTTCAGTTGCTTTGAGCTCTGTCAAATTCTGATACGGAGATTGAGAAAAAATTACTACATTCAATATTTAGGATCTGGTGGTACCACACATCTTCTGAACTTGTAAATTCTAGTGTGGTGTTATTTCTGCTGTTTGCTTGATGCAATTTAGGCTGGACGCCTGACTTTACATACCTCTCTTGAAAATGGGTAAATAGTAACTGCCTTGCCTTTTCTTAGGTTGCTGAAATCTTCTATAAGATGTACAAGAGTATTATATATGCTAGTAAGTCTCTAATTATACCCACATGCATAAATTTATAACAGGCATATGAAGTTACAAAAATCAAACACGTCTCTATCTCTATAATTAAGTGTATGGCTTGAGGAATATCTCCTCATCATTTAGTATCTAGTTTTCTCCCTGATGAATGTATCGCTTCGATTACTACTACTGTCACTTTGAACTCTAATTTTCTAGATATGCGAATAATAGGACCATATACCTGAGGAGTGTCGCTAGGGGAAGGAAGCAGCTTGGTTCACTGGGCATCTTCTATAGACTTCCCCCTGCTGGTCACACTGCCCCCCTCCCCAGGCTCCACACTATCTCAATATTTTATATCTTTATATCTTTTATATCTTTATATCTCAATATTTTCTCATTTCATTAATTTCCCTAGTGAAAGTCAGAGGCATTCAAAAACACAAATTTGACAATGTCAGTTGTCTTAGATTTTTTTAAATTTTATTTTATTGTTTTTTTTTTTTACAATTGAATTTTCTACCATGGAGTAAACCTCAATTAATTTAGTAATGCATGTATGTCTGGTAGTATGTATACAGTTTTTCATCTTTAAAATTTGAGATGAGATTTTGTAGGGGCTTATGTACTATAGTAAAAAATTTGGTTTAATTCTAAAATAGATGAGAGATAATTGGAAGGTTTTAGGCCCAGGAATGAAATCATTCTCACCCTGATTTTAAAAATACCTCTGGTTGCCTAGTGGATTATAAAGAAAACAAGGAGAAAACAGAGGCTAGTAGAAGCAATTTACAGCAGCTTAGCGTTTTTGTGGTTTTCAGTAAGATAGTGGTAGCAGAGGTGGAAAAGTGGCCAGAATTAGGGAACATTTTGATAGAATACTTTTTGGAATTTGATTTTAGATTGAATGTAGGATAATAACCAGATAGTCTTGAGCACCTGGAAAGACGATAGTACCATTTACAGAGAGAAGGCAGATAAAGAGTCTTCCATATCTGTCATGTGGATTTTGAGGTGACTTTTTGACACAATAGAAAACTTCTAAGTGAGCCATTTGAGTTCAGTCTGAAGAGAGAGGTTGGGAATGAGAAGTCATCAGAATGGAGAAGGCATTGAAGCCATTGAGTCACCATGCACTCACCTAAGGAGAGTACACAGAAGGGGAAGAGAGGAAGGTTCAAGACAAAGCCCAGGGTCGCCCAAAATTGATTTTCAGAAAAAGAGGCAGAGAAGACCTAAAAAGATTATTCATCACAATTAAAAAAAAAGAAAAAAAAAAAAAAGCAAACCAATCAATTGTGAGTACTGGTTTATATGGTATATGCTTTAGCTTCCTATTCCTATAGTAACAAACTACGAACTTATTGGACTAGGGATACACACATTTACTCTCTTGTGTTTTAGGAGGTTAGAATTCTATTTCAGGTTGACAGGTTGTATTTGTTCTGGGAGTTCTGGAAAGAAATTGATTTCCTTGTCATTTCTGTCTTCTGGAGACTTCTTGCACCCGTCAGCTCATGGCCCTGTATCTATTTCCATTACCTCTGCTTCCCTCACCAGCTACCACCCACTCTTCACCAACCACTCCCCCGCCTTACTGTCACTAGCATTTATATTCATCCTCTTCATCACATCTTCAGATTACTTAACCTCTGCCATGCCATTCAGTACAAATCGAGTGGGGATCTACAATGTGCATCTTTCAAAATTTGGCTTATTTCTCGCAAAAGTAAGTCCTCCATTTTGGGTCAGATGATAGGATCTCATTGTTTCTTTTAACTGTGTGCCACAGTATTTCAACCCAGTCACCGATTTGGGGACACTTAGGTTGGTTCCACGTTTTAGCAATTGTGAATAATATGTAATAAATACAAATGTGCAAGTATCTTTCCAAGAGGGTGTTTTCCTATCCTTTGGGAAATACTGAGAAGTGGGTCATATGGAAGTTCTAGTTGTAGGTTTTTAAGAACTCTCCACGTGGCTTTCCACAGAGATCAGATTTAAATTCCCACCAACAGTGTAAAAGAGTTCCCTTTTCACCACAGCCTCTCCAACACTTGTCATTCTTTATTTTTTGACCCTAGCCATTGTAATTATGGTTACAGGATATCTCATTGTGGTTTTAATTTGCATTTTCCTTATGAGACTTTGTACATTTTTTCATATGCCTCTTGGCAATTCATAACTCTTCCTTAGAGAGTTATCTATTCAATTAATATGCCCGTTTTTATTGGATTATTTATTTTTTAAATGAGTGAGTTACTTTAGTTTCCTATGTGCTCTAGATAGCAATCCCTTATCTAAGGAATAATTTGAAAATATTTTCTCCCATTCTGAGAGTTGTCTTTTCACTTTGGTTATATCAATAGTTTCTTTTGCCATGAAAAAGCTTTCTATCTTGATGTATTTCCATCTGCGTATTTTAAGGATTATTCCCTGTGCCTTAAGGATCTTATTTAAGAGATCCTTGTCTATTCCAATATTGTCAAAAGTTCTCCAACATTTTCTATTAGTATTTTTGTACTTCGAGGCTTTATATTTAAATCTTTGAGTTAATTCTGGTTAATGGTAAGAAATAGAGGGGTCTAAATTCATTTTTCTTCTGGTGGATATACAGTCCTTTCAGTACCATTTGTTTAAAATATTTTTTTCTCCACTGCATTGTCTCATACTTTTTGTAAAAGATCAGTTGGCTGTATGGTTTGGGGTTTATTTCTGGATTCTCTATTCTGTTCCAGCCATTTAGGTATCTATTTTTGTGTCAATGTCATGCTGTTTTCATTATCACTGCTTTGTAATATATTTTAAAATTGGGTACTGTGATGCTTCCTATTTCATTCTTTTGGTACAGTACTTCCTTGGCATTATGGGGTCTTTTATGATTCCAGACATATTTTATAAGGTTTTGTTTTTATTTCTGTGAAGAATGTGTCAGGTAATTGGGTCAGAATCATATTGAATATGTAAATTAATTTAGGTAGGACTGACATTTTGATTATATTGATTCTTCCCATCCACGAGCACAGGAGGTCTTTCCTTTTTTTGTTTCATACACAAGTTTTCATGGCTAATTTTTTTCTCCACTGCTCAGTTGCCTCTATGTAGACACTGGTAAATCTGATCATTGAATTTAACCAAAGTTGGCTTTGGAACTGGAAAGGATTATGGAGGAAAAATAGGGAAAATAAGTTGATTGCTTTTTATGAATAAGCTGTGCCAATATCTATTTGTTGATCAAGTCCCACATCTAATCCAGTGAAGCCCCAAACAAAATTTACTCAAAACAAAATTTCTCTTCTATATGCTTTCTATTATCATGGTTTTAGATCGACCTAGCAATAATTTTTGCTTAGATTATTTTGATAGCAATGTATCCTGTTTATCCTCTCCATTTTCCAGGGCAGACTAAACAGCTCTCATCCTATGCCCACCATAAAATATTTCAAAGTTATTTCTTATTGCAATTATGATAAAGATGAAGACATTTACCTGTGCCTTAAGAAGTATGCAGTTTGGCCCCTCTCATTGAAAAGGTTCTTTGTCTGACTTTCTCAGTATTCCAGCTACCCTGAAATGTCTTTGTTTCCCAAATAGCTTAGGTTCCTCAAGTCCTTACTCATGTTGTCTCTTTCATCAGAAACACAATTCAGCTTTCTCTTTGTCTAACCAACTCTTTTTCAGTTCTCATATTCTATTTGCCTGCCTCACAGAAGACAACTTGGACCATGCACATTGTGATGTTCTCTTATCACAAGAAATAGATGAGAGGAGCACATTTTATTATATACAACAGGCCCCTTTCAACCATACTTGAGTTTATGCAAGTAAAGAGACTTAAAAAAAGTAATTTCTTCACTTAACTTTATTTATTATTATTATTTTAATTTGACCAGAGAGAGACAGAGAGCAGAGAGAGAGAGAGAGAGAAAGTAAGCCACGGGGACTTGAACCATTGTTAGTCATGTGGGAATCCAGCTTCCATAACCACTCCACCACCTCCTGACCCCACAATTGAAGTGACTTTTAATGGACCTACATACTTCAGTATGATGGTTGCTAGAGCAATCAACCCTGGGATAAGAGGGCTAGAACTTTCAGTTCCATCCAGAACCTTTAGGGAGAAGAAAATGGCTAGTGACTGAATTAGTTACAGATGGACAATAATTGGTGCCTGGGCAACGGAATCTCCACAAAAATTCTGAAAGAGTGAGCTCAGCGAGCTTCCAGATTAATGAATGCTTTAAAGTAGTAGGAGGGTGATGTGTCCAGAGACGCCGTGGAAGCTCTTCTCCCCCTGCATCATGCCTTCCTCCATGCATCTATTTCACATGGCTGTTCCTGAGTTATATCCTTTATGATAGACCGCAATTATAAGTAAAGTATTTTGCCTTTCCAGCATTCTAGCAAATTACTAAACCTGAGCAGAAAGTTGTATAATCCGTTCTCCAACTTTATAGACAGGGAGACAGAAGCGTGAGTGATCCAGACTTCTGTATGATTGGCAGCTGAAATTGGAGCCTTCTGAGCTTTCAACCTGCAGGTTCTGTATCTGCTCCAGGTAGTTAGTGTCAGAACCGAATGAAATTGGAGGACAGCCAGCTGATGTCTGGCAAGTGGGAGAATTGTTTGGTATGATGGAAATCACACACACTTGGTATCAGCAGTGCTGGGAGTGGACAATCACATCGGAGTTGTCCACATTAATCAAGACCTTGAGCTCAGTGATCATGTACTTAATAGTGCACATGAAGGTTCAAGCGTACACATTTTTATGGAATTTTATGATTAAAGACTATTCTACCTTGAGACTCTAAATTGTATAAAGAGAGGACCAAATTTATTCAGGAGCTACATTTTCTCTTTAATTCTTATTATAGTGTCCGAGGCATAGCAGCTACTCAACAAGCATCTGATGGATAAGCCCAAGCCATTTTTAATGTAGGATACCAGGTTCGTGCCAGTATGGTGAAGCTGGTTTTCTTGTTATAGACACCAACGTTACTATTTTTAAAAAATATTTCATTTAATTTATTATTATTTTTAATGTGACTAGAGAGAAAGAGAAGTACAGTGAGAAAGCAAGCTACCAGGTCCAGGATTTAAATCGTGGACAGTCACGTGGGAGTCTAGGGCTTTAACCACCATTCCACCTGCTGACCCCATAGAAACCAACATTATTAAGCTTAGGTAGCATGGCTGGTATAAAGGTGTGAAGAGTGTGGGCTCATTTGCATTACCTTTGTGTGTGTATGCAAATATAAGTCCTCAGGAACACTCTTCCCCAGCATTTGTTATATTTTCCAAATCAAAGTGCTTCAGCTTGTAAAATAAAGAATTAAAAGATCTTGATGAATCATGCTACAATTAATAACCTGCATTGTTTTTCAAATAACATGCATATATAAATTCTAAACATAATTATATATGATATGATATTAATATTTATTTTATATATTATACTTAGGAATTATAAGATATAATTTAAATATGGTATTGATGTAACTATGGAATATATATGCATATAAATGTGTATACGCATATGGAACCGCATTCCCTGTTCCTTACAGATTTATTAGAAAAATATATCTTGGGGACCAGCAGTTGGTCTAATGGATATGTCATTGGACTCCCGTGGTTCTAGTCTCGGATCCAGTGGCTTAAACTCACACTGGGCATGTGTGCGTGCATGCGTCCGGGGCATAGCAGCTACTCAACAAGCATCTGATGGATAAGCCCAAGCCATTTTTAATGTAGGATACCAGGTTCGTGCCAGTATGGTGAAGCTGGTTTTCTTGTTATAGACACCAACGTTACTATTTTTAAAAAATATTTCATTTAATTTATTATTATTTTTAATGTGACTAGAGAGAAAGAGAAGTACAGTGAGAAAGCAAGCTACCAGGTCCAGGATTTAAATCGTGGACAGTCACGTGGGAGTCTAGGGCTTTAACCACCATTCCACCTGCTGACCCCATAGAAACCAACATTATTAAGCTTAGGTAGCATGGCTGGTATAAAGGTGTGAAGAGTGTGGGCTCATTTGCATTACCTTTGTGTGTGTATGCAAATATAAGTCCTCAGGAACATTCTTCCCCAGCATTTGTTATATTTTCCAAATCAAAGTGCTTCAGCTTGTAAAATAAAGAATTAAAAGATCTTGATGAATCATGCTACAATTAATAACCTGCATTGTTTTTCAAATAACATGCATATATAAATTCTAAACATAATTATATATGATATGATATTAATATTTATTTTATATATTATACTTAGGAATTATAAGATATAATTTAAATATGGTATTGATGTAACTATGGAATATATATGCATATAAATGTGTATATGCATATGGAACCTCATTCCCTGTTCCTTACAGATTTATTAGAAAAATATATCTTGGGGACCAGCAGTTGGTCTAATGGATATGTCATTGGACTCCCGTGGTTCTAGTCTCGGATCCAGTGGCTTAAACTCACACTGGGCATGTGTGCGTGCATGCCCAAGATCCTGAGAGGAGAATGGAGGAGAAGGGATTGCGGCATGGCCATCCCCCCTGGGGGGTGATTTCTCACTTTCTGTCTCTCTGTCTTTCTGGCGTGCACAAGCACTCTATAGCAAAAACCTCTCCAATAAAAAAAAAAGAAAGAAAGAAAAGAACAGAGAAAAGAAAAAAGAAAAGAAAAGAAAAGAAAAGAAAAATATATCCTGAAGTTGGCTAATAAAAATTAGGAATTAAGAGGACTGACAAGGGGTCCAAAGCTGAATAAACCATCACCTTTTTTTAAGTTTACCAGTTATATTGTAATAGTATCACACTTTTCTGTAGTTACAATACTTTTAAAAATATGACTATATCTTTTCAGCCAGCTGTAGAACTTTGCTACATTTGTTTGTGCAGTAATAGTTTCTGAATTAAAGCGCTATTTTAAATAGCATACAATGATACTTTTGAACTATAGAATGGCTTAAAAGTTAAGAACAGATGTTGCTTAAAATTTTCAAGAAAAAAAATAACCGATTTTATACCTAAATTGAGGGAAATAGTCACGCACTATTTTTTTTCAGTATACACAACCCAAAACCATAATTCCAATAGAAAAAGTATAAATTTAAACAGATCTTTTATTATGTATATATCTAATTTTATAGAATAGAGAGATCTAAATATATTCATATGTATGTATGTTTAAATATCCATTCATGTGTATGTAAACATACGTGT